TTATTGGCCGAGTAGCTTATTCGCCGCCAGCGGTCCGAATAAAGTGTTTATTCTCGACGGTGCGAGCGATTCAAAGCACAGCCGGCACGTACCTTTCGCAAGCCATATTTCTCCCGCGACAGATACGTCTTACCCACTCGCTACGATTTACTTTGTGCCAGCTACCATTAAAGGTTCGCCATTAGGCTTCGCCAAGCCGTATCGCGCTAAGCAAACTAATAGTCCGAGTAAATATCCTCCAAAAAATGGATCCTGGCCGATCCAGACGATCGTGCTCCTAACATACGCGCGTTACTTACTCTGGAAACTAAACTAAAAGTAAGAAAATTTCTCCCATCGCGTAGAGGCAATTTAGTCGCAGCAGATCGATTAATCAAGCGTAAGTCTGTCTGTTCCCGCGCGAGCACGTGTCAACGGATGATCTGATTTGATCGGGGAACTGTTCGATTTGCAAGCGGCCCGGCGAATAATCAACTCCCGCCGGAATCGATCTCGTTAAACAGAGACCGGTCCGCGTTACTTCGCTTCTTGCGGCCATAATTACGTTTATTTACTTCGGACCTTCATTTTTGTAATTCCCTTGTCGAACCTTTTCCCCCTTTCGTCCGTCCGTGTCCGGGCCAGCGGGGAACGAGATTTAATTAAAAGTCTATCTGCGTTCAATTAATAAAAAAAGGGGAACTCACTCACCCCTCCCTCCCCTCCTCCTCCAACTGGATAGTACCAGTGTAATCATCCTGCGTAATTACTGGGCTTGTCAGTTGCTTTGATTAAATCCTCTTTCTTCTCTTTCCTCGATTCTTCTCCTCCCACCGGGTTTCTGCCACTATTCTGAAACAGAAGAGGCAGAGGACAGCAGTCTGTTAATGTTGCGTGCAAATTGCACCGCGTTACTTTTTAATGTAGATCGTAAGCTGTTATTATTCGTGGAATTCGGGTCGCCGGTTGCAACTCGAGATTGCAGATTAGAGACCATTCGCACGGACGTTCGAATTAAATTTTTTTTCATCTCGTTACTGACAAATCTCCCAGGCGTAATGGAAACCCTTGTTAGCCCTATCTCGTATTATTGGTCCACTTTTCCTATGCTAATTCACCATTTCTCCCCCCGGTCGAAGAGAGAGAGAGAGAGAGAGAGAGAGAGAG